TTTTTTTTTTTTCGCTAGTTTCTGGCTTCAGATTTACAAAATCTAGCGTTCAGCATAGTACATTCTCAAGAACAAGTAATGTAAGTAAACCCCCTTATCAGTACTACTGTTCAATACAAAAAAATACCGTACACATATAACTGATAATACTAAGCAGTAACAAATAAATACAATAAACTTTAAAACCACTGTTTTTTTTGTTCTTTGCTATTCAAAAATAATGCTTCAAAATGACTTTCACCTAAAAACTTATTAGCTGAATATCTATTTGTAAGCTGTCAACTTTTCAAATTTTTCTATTCTAAAACGTATAAACAGATTAAAAAAAAAGGTATAAATATACATAAAAACTAAAAAACGCTACTATATTGTCAAATAAAGTAGTTAAAACCATTTTTTATGCAGAAAATTTGCTTAATTTCATTGTAAAAAAAAAAAGTCAGAGTTCTTCTGTTATTTACAACTCATTTAGATTATAGCTCAGTGTACCTTATAGTCATAAATTTTGCTAAGTCAACTGTTGTTAAGCTTGTTTATCTCGCCAAGTTTAAGCTAAATTTTGGGGAAATTACATGATTTGTATAAATCCCATATACATTTATCAACGAATTAAATTTTACTACAACAAAATTTTTTTCAAAAAATTATGACTTCCTGTTGTAAATGATTCACTATCAATGTCTGCTATTTTTTCCTAATCAATTAATGAAATTTTTGGTCAATTTTATTTGACCATTTTTACGTTAACTGTTTATCTGCTTTGATTGATTCAGAAATAAACAAGCTAACAACTCTTAGACTATACTAGCAATATTGAACAGATGAATTACTATGACTAACCTTCATCAAAGCCCGTATAACAGTCGATAACACCATCGTTTACTTTGTACTGCGGAATACATCGAGGATTACCGAACTGACAATCAAACTGCCACGGTAAACACTCTAAAAAATATCAAATACAATAACTGCTGATTAGCACTGATAAAACTGAAAGAGAAAATTGAACAAAAAATGATTTTTTTTTGCTAGTCGTAGAAGCACGTATAGAAGATAAAGATTTCCTAAAGATAAGCACCTAACAAGCATTAATTAGAACCTTATCCCAGTTATACAGTTCCAAAAATGACACTTTAGTTTTGCAGAAAAATTCAGTGAAACAATGGCAGTTGACTATCTGCAAACAACTGCAGAAAGACTGATCAATACAGAAAACTAAGTTGCAAAAAACAAAATGCCTATCAGACAGCTTTTAAAATTATACATTTTAAAAAATTTTTACACAAAGAAAAAAGTTACCAGTTTATTTTTGTCATCTATTTACATTTTGTTTTAGATTAGATCCAAAGCTAATCATTTAAAGATGGCCAAATTTTTTTTTTTTTTT